CAACTATACGTACACTTCTGGACAAGTTAATAATATATTATTAAATAATTACTTTTAATATTGTACCATATTGGTGTATCTATTATATATAGGTAAACTGAACTTTAACACTGCTGCGTGATCAAAGAATAAAAAAGAAAGTAATCAATAATTTCGATCACTAATTTCCGTCTATAACCATATCGCAAAGTAATAAGGCCAGAGCTAGAAATGCACATACGAAAAAAAAAAAAGACTAGGAGAACACAATAGTAGCCGCCTTTTTCTGAGGATGGTTGGACGAAGACGATTTGGGCCTGGTGTAAAATATGAAGAACATTACTTTTAGGAAGAAAAATATTTTACGTAATAATCATCCTCGGCAAAAGTATTAATAAAACGTTCAAAAAATATACTTTAATATTTACCTCATTATAACGCTACCATCGGGAGCCATGTGCACCGGAGAGTGATATAGGTGGGGGAGCATTGTAACCAGTTAGTCAAGAAGCCACTCATGCTGAACTAGTACAGATTCAAGACTACTAAAGCAATCAGTTGAATAACATAACTGTTTATTTACATTCTTTTGATACAGAACTCTGGCTTCTTTTCTTTATTTCATCAATCATTGAAAGTTTCTCGGCGACTGAATAGGTTTTTCTCCTCCTCGATAGTGGTGACACGCCGGTAACTAAGTGTTGACATCTTGATTATTTAATGTACGTTATTTCTTTTCGATATAAATTCTATGAAAGCGTAATCCAATCCAATCGTGAATGGTTAGAAATTAAGGTTATTTCTCTTAGCCCCTTTCTTGACTTGTAGATAATTTTAGATTGTGGTGATTAAAGTTCGGGGGAATGAGCTATGACTTCCGTGGAATTTTGATTATGCTTTGATGACTTTCGTGGTCAAGGGAGAGAAAAGGTCGGGAAGAAGACAGGAAGTGCGTTTGCTTTCTTGTTGTTGTAGTGAGAAGGAAGGGAAGCTTCAAGTCTGACTTCTAAGAATGCGTTATAACTAATAAGCTAATTATCTTATATTTATACGATAGAGACAGGTGGTTTACAGGAGGAAGGATATGACTGGCTAAAACGCTCATCTTAAAAACAATCAGCATATTCACTGGATAATTAAAATCGCACCAAAAGTGAATAGGTTTAACGGTACTCTAAACCTGCTGCAATTAACGATATCCTTCTGACACTGAGCATTAATTTGGTTTCACCCGTAAACAATTCTTGGAACTTCTTGCCCACTTCACAAAGTTAAACCATTTCCTCTTTAATTACGTCATTTATGACCAGATAGATGGAATCCCCGCTGGGTCCAACGATGACTTCCACGTGACTTAAAACCTGTCTTTTTTCAAACACTATATCGATTACACATTCTTCCTATTTCGACAATCGAGTCAAATTTCCAAATTCCTTTCTTACCTTAATTCCCAACTTCCCAATATCAAGTTCACACCTGAACTTGATATTTACATCTCTGGGCTTTGCGTTTGGAACTTCCCGCTCCACCCCCACCCCTTTATTTTGTGACAGGGTTTAAAAGCCACATGGAAATGAGCTAGGCAGTGGATGATACTAAATGTTTGGAAGCCAAGGCACCACAGCGTTATAATGAGACAGTACTGTATTTACTAAAAGCCACTCTGTTTGTAACGTTCAAACTGGCTTAGTAGTTTGTCTGAAGCAGAACTCTAGAGTTCCAACTCCAGTCGTGTGGGGACTATTTTTTTAAATCATTAACTCATCATGTTTAAAGAAAGATATTACAATATCAGGAAAAAACAAAATAACATGATAGTGTGCATTAGAGATTTCAATTATTTCTTGACCTTTGATTACAAAGACTGGGTGTCACAGTAGTTTTAGCACTCGATTATCATGTGCATTGTTTAGTTTGCTATGAATTTTGTGCAAAGCTACACGAAGACTATCTGCACTAGCCATCCCTAGATTTGCTGGTTTCTGATATGCTGTGGTGGAGCCTTCAAATAGTTGTCTCTACAGTATGTTTTATTTGTATTAAAATTATCTAATACTGACACCATTCAATGATAGTTAAGTAACTTGTATATACACAAACTAATACATGGAACATGAATTGATAGCTTGCATCCTAAAGAAAAAAAAAAACTGTCATGCTTCTATTAATGGAACATACATGTAAACATATTCAATGATTATTTTACTTCAGTAAAGTTGCTTAGAAAAGCATGTGATACATATAAAATTTAAGTAAATTATACCTATTTTTTACTTTGTTTTACTAGTGTCATCTAGGAGTTGTTACACAACTGAAAACTGGATTTCACAGCCTATGTATTGTAGTCATATTTTAAGTAAATCTGAAATATGTATATCTAATCTCATTCAATTTGTAACCACAAAGTAAACAACAGAAAGTTTTAAATAATATATTCTTTAAAAATATATAAATTATACACAAAAACAAATATTATTCACATGTCAAAGATACAATGCAACAAAACTTGAAATGTTTAAACTGTATGTATAGCTTCTAGAAAAATAAATATTGCTCGAGTAGCTCAGAAACCAACCGATTTTTCTATATGAAGACCACTAATAATTCAGATGCTGATTCAAATTTGTTAATTAAACAAATTCAAAAAAAGGATAAAACTAGTTAGCACTTAGCATCTAGTTATTAAAAAGTTGTTACATATAAATAATTAAAAATAAGTTATTGTATAAGGCTACTAACTATGACACCATAGTTTATATCACCATATAAACACAAGATACAAAATACCTGTATCACAAGATAGATAATACAACACACAACATACACTATCAATATAATCAAACTTCATAACAACACGGAGATGCACTTACTAAAGTAATTCACAAATACAAATTAAATTTAAAATAAAGGAGATTGAATTATGGTGAGTGTGAAAACCATTCCTTTCAGTTAATTTCTTCTTTTTCTTCAAGGAATGTGTTGACCAGTTTAAAACAGTGGGTGTTATCAACTACTATACCAAACTGCATCAGTATATGGTAGTACAAAAAAAAGAGTAAAATGTGGTTACTGTTATATGTGGCATTAATGATACATATCCAATAACCAATGCTTATTCCTGTTCACACCATAGTTCATCATCACATGATAAGTTCCTGTATGTATATTGGTATGAATCTGATTCTAGGTTCACTGCAAATGAATATAAGTATGTTATCTGGATGCAGAGCGAGACTCAGCTGTAAAAATAATATTTTCTCACATACTGTTGGTTCACTGGACATGTTTGGTTTGTTACTCTGTAAGGAAAATGTATTTCACTGGACTTATACACAGGCAAACCTTGAAAAGTATATTTCTAATCATGTGTACAGTGACATGGCATCCAGTTGTAACTTTTAACATTTGGTTCAATATCAGAGCCTGTTCTATGCAATTCATGGAAGTCAGAAACAAAAGAAAACAGTCATCTGCTTTTTTCATTGATGATGGTCTTATATGTCCAGTTGACCTAACAATTGTTGGCTTACCATTGTTTCTAATTCTGCTAATAACACTTTGTCAATTCATAGCATTCTGCTGAAAATGGCTGATTTCCATTTGTCTGAAAGTTTTCCACAAGCTAACAATCCCAATGCCATCAGTGAGGTCTAACCATGGGTCAGGAACAGTATGAAGTACAACAAACTCTATACATAACTTCTGAGCAATGATGAAGACAAGGCTGTGAGAGGCTACTATATACACATACACACACACATGCATGTGCATATAGCTAAGGCTAAAACATCACTCATTTCATAAACCAAACATATTATTACAAAAAATAAAACTGTCTTAAACAGAGTTTAGTCTATCTTTTTTCAGAAAAGTTAAACTTGTGTCCTGTCATCCTTTATCTTCAAAACATAGTACCAAGAAATTAGAGGGCTTTATCCTATCAATCCCTCAGATAATTATTTAAACTTCAATAAGATTCCTTCTTTTCTCATGAGAAATTAGAGACCTTAACAAATCCCTATAAGATAACTCTTCCACCCCAGGAATCATCCCAGCAACCTTCTAAATATTTCCAGTAAGTAAATATCCTTTCTTAGATAAGGAGACCAAAACTGTACACACTATTCCAAGTTAAGCATAACTAGATGTGTATAGAAGAGATAACTACATTTTTTACTTGTAATCAATATGTATAAATACATCCTAAATTTCTATTAGCTTACTGCTAACAATACAGTATTGCTTCAATGACTTGAGTTGTTTAATTACCACTATGGAAAGATCTTTTTCTTCAGTAATAACACTACTGAGTGTGTTCAGGTCAGTTTCAGTATTTTCCATATGATACTTAGGGTCAAGAATATTGCTAATATCTTATATTGTAAGAACAGAAAAGAAAACAATAACAAGCTCAGAAACATCAACCTTAACAAATGATGTATGATAAAGGATTGATGGATAGTGTCTTATCAAAATTAGCTACACATTTTCCTCCAAAGACCTAACTTTCAGTTTTTACCAACATATAGTTGAGAAACTTAAAAGTTAAATACAATTTGCATGAAATAGATGTTCATTTCATCTTTGAGAAGACTACAGGCAAAGTATAACTATATTTACAAAATTATACAACTACTTGATTAAATATTATTCTATATTTTCTACACAACATTAAAATTTAAAGTATACTATGTTGACTAACTGAGTAACTACATATTTAATGTTACATAATTTCAAACTATAGTTGGTATTTGTTAATTATGACAATGAATAAATAAAGTTATAAAATATCACTTCCACCAGAAAATCAAAAATCTGGATTTACATTATTAATAATAACATTAATTATCATGGCTACATAAACAAAACTACTTTATTGTCCTACAAAACAAGATTGGGTTGAAATAAAAATAAATTTTCTACGGTATAATTCAAATTAAAGAAAAACAAAAATTCACTTCTGTTAATTTTTAAAGTAAGGATTACAAAATAAAGCCCAAAACAATATTCTTGTACATTACCTTGGAATTGTAATGCATTTGGTTTTTGAATCTTGAGTTGTAATAGATTTTTCTAGTTCATCCAATCCTCCAGTCTTCTTAAGTTTCTTGACCAAACTTTTCACTGCTCTTTCACTCCACTTGTCTTCTACTTCTCCCTTCTTCCATCCAAGAAGTCGTTTGACTACAGGAGAAGTAACAGGAAGAATTGATGTCATGTTTTACAAACTTAAAATATCTGAAGTTGCCTGTGCCATGCAGTTTCAATTAAGTACAAAAACAACACAGTATCATATCAATACGTCATATCATTTTCACTGAAACTTCACACACGTAATGAATGGTATAACTTTCAAGCAGTAGTCCGCTTGTACGATAACACATTCCAGTAAAACCGACTTACTCATTACTCCCAAATCAGTTCGATACTACACGTTCTGTTTTCCACCCACAGTTAATAAGTTGCCGTATTACACACAAATTTACAACCTAAACTGCCGCACAAAAAATTAAATTACAAAATATAAACGATTCTCAAACAATCAGATATCGAAAATTAAGGACAAATAAGTCCTAAAACATTTATATGAAAACTGTATGCATTAAATGAGTGAAACACTCTATTAAAGAATTTTTGCAGTTTGTGCAGCTGTAATTCACAAAACGACACTTCTAGCGCCTGGATACACGATCAGTTAAGGATCAAAAAGTCAGCACGGAGGGCGCTACTAATACTATTTCGAAAAATGATTTTTGTTTGTTGTTAAGACCAAAGATATTGTTGTAAGTTATATTTCTAACTAGCGTATAGCCCATAAAAATTGACGGGGCAAGTACTGCCACTCCCACCCCATAGAATACCCCTATTCTCATACTTCATAGCTAACATGTTTGTTTGTTTGTAATTAAGCACAAAGCTACACAATGGGCTATCTGTGCTCTGCCCACCACGGGTATCGAAACCCGGATTCTAGTGTTGTAAGTCCGCAGACATACTGCTGTGCCACGTGGGGGGGGGGGGGGGCTCATAGCTAAGTGAAATAAATCATTTCGCGAAATCAAGCTTGACCAAAAAGAGGCAGAAAAGTGCAGTCAAGGCAATCAAACGTTGGTAAATTCCTTTGTGAGCCAATCAAATTTAAGATCATCCATGAAATGAATTCGTGGCGTATTCATAGAATAATTATTGGTAAAAATCAGTTAGATTAACAACTTCTAATATATAAGAAAGCCAGAGCGTTTTCGTAACATTAGATTCCAACAATGGCTTTTATGTCCTGCTGCTTATCGACACAAACATAACCTAATATTGTTGCTCATCAATGCACTGAAAGTATTGTTACGACAGCGGAAGTCACGTGCCTCTGGTAACACGTGATGAGTTTCTAGAAGGATCGGGGAACATCACAAATAATCCAGTATTTGCTAAACGCCCTCTATTCCTGTATATAAGCGCGCCAGACGGATAATCCAGTCAAGCCGTAAGTAAAGGGTGTAAATCGTTGTGAATTATAGCGTATTGTTACGTCTCCGTTTGTTAATTAACTTTCCGTAACTTCGTTCCAACGAAACTTAAGCGACACAAGTTCTTTCTTAATAAAAACTGGTTTATTCTTTCCGAATACAACTTTACCGATATACTCAACTTCAACAATCGCGCTAAACAACGCTATA